TTTTTTTCTTGCAGTGAGCTGACAGTGCTCTTTCTAAGCATTTTGGTCATCATCTTTTCCCTCTCTCATGATCCTTGCGTGGGCGAGAAGAAGTGGATATGAAGCCACAGCTTTTAATGAGGAGCATTTGGAAAAGAACCTAAAGCTTTGGCTTGGGTGGGGATTTGAGCTGGGCCTTGAGCTGGTGACAACAGCAGGAGATTTATTTCATTTTTCTCAACACCTGGACGATGTTACTATGTGAGTTGCCAGTTTCCAGTGGAAGAAGATCCCATGTGGGTATCTGGAGTCAGTTCTGTTCTCCGTGCAGCCACGTGATGTCATGAACACATTGCTCAGCAATGTCTGGAGCAAGAAGCAGGGGTTGCAGAAATTCATCCCTCCAAGAGAAGAGCAGCATTTTCTCCAGGGTGTTGACACAGGCACTGCAATGAAGCACTTTAATTTATTTTTTTAAATTTTTTAATTTTTTTAAACTATTCACCAAGACGAACAGTCACTCAGATACTTGCTTCACTCTGTTCTATCTTCCATGGATCCTCCAGCTTTTGGTGAGCTGTGAAACCACAACTCCCAGGCTAATGACTCTTCTCTCCTGTGCTATCTCTCAACATTATCTCTTTGCCTGAAAGCAAATGACTTCTCCAGCCCATGGAGCTGTTCTGGGGCTCTGTCTGACTATGATCCTATTGCTTTTCTTCCAAGTCCAGCCAGCAGCTGGAGAGGAAACTCACACCCACCCTCCCTATCAGCCCAGCCTCCTGTTTTGAGGAGGGCTACAGCTCCCACCCTGCGTGTTGTCCCTCTTTCTCTGTGCTTTTGACCCATTCTCAGCCTTGAGTTCTTTGTTCTTCTCTTCTGATTTCTCCAGCCCTATCACCAATGCTCAGTTTTGACTAATGATCATGGCAACTGATCTGATGCAACGTTGGGATTTGTACTTTGCGAGGCCTGCCTGCCTGATGGAGGAGGAAGAGGAGGAGGACAGCCTTCTGTGCCACCCTACAACTCTTCATGACCTTTAGGGTCCAGCTCTAGCTCTGGACCCTCACCATGCAAAAGGTGAGGCTAGTTGCTGTGGTGGGATCTCCTCCCATGGCTGTGCCTTTGGCAGGGAAGCACTTTTGAGGAACTCTAGAGGGTTAAAACCACAGCTCTGAAACCAGCCAAGGGAAAAGTCACATGCACGTGGGAGATTTTGCAAGTTGGTGCTTGCTGCTCGGGGTAATGAGAGGGAGTGTGGGGGAGAAGCCTTCTTGCCTTGGGTGAGCTGTGCCTGGTTGGTCCGTGGTCCCTGGGAGAGGCAGGGAAGAGAGTGACCTTCCCTGGCACACACTGAAGCTGTAGGACCAGAGACCTCCCAGCTCGGCGATGGGACAGTGTGACACTGGGGCAGGGCAGAGTGGGATGATGGCAGATAAAGGACAATGAGGAGGAGGAGGGAGCTCAGCTGGTTCCCTGGGAGCAGGAGGTGAGCTAGACCAGGTAAGCCTCTGCCAGCTGCTCTGGAAATGAAGCAGAAGGACTTGCTGAATGTTTCTCTTCTGTTTTTTAGCTATGACTTGGAGGTGTCCTAAAATAAAAGGGTCCTTAGCCTGAAGGAGGCAAAGTGACCAGAGAAATGTTGGTATTGGTTCAAGAATGAAATGTAGAGAGACACAGAGCCTGGGGAGGGCAGGAGATGAGGGAAAGCCCCTCACATCAGCACAGAGGGAGGCAGAGGAAGATTTGGGTGGACCCATCTCCAAAACCAGGCAGTTGTTCTGCAGTAAAAGTCAGCAGAGCCAAATGAGGCTGTGCTGCACGAAGGGGTAAAAACAAAGCTGCTGCTGCCAACAAGCTCGTCCCAGCTGGGAAAGGCTGTTCCCTTCCTGCAGCCCCTGGATGGGCTGGGAAAGGCTGAGCTGCCCTCACCCTGCTGCACCCTTTGGTGTCATCTCCTGGGGATTGTCCTCCAGGGACTCAAAATGCTCAACATCTAAGCCAGAGCACCTTGATTCATCTCCAACCTAACGTGACAGCAGCAATGTCAGGGTGGTAGGTTTTAATTAGGTTTTCCTTTCGTTTCCTCTTGATTTCTCACTCTTTGCTGCTGTTTTGTGTGAGCTTTTCTCTCTTGTTTTTCACTTTCCCTTCTGCTTGCTGCTAAGCTGAAGGGACTGAAGGCAAAAGGGGAAAGGAGTGAGGAAAATACACTGTTTGAATCCACTTTTTGGTGCTGGGAGATGTGCTGAAACATGTGCCTGCCCATGCTCTGCAAGGAAATTGTGCAGGAGAGCCAAGCTCAACCTACAGCAGAATCCCTCCTCGCCTGTGCCAGTGAAGAGCGGGTGCTGTGCCCATCCTGTGGACACACACACACTCTGCACACCTCCTGTGCAAGGTGCACTATGACTTGATTCCTTTAAGTGTGAATTTCCAGCCCTTTGCAGGTTTGTTTTGGGTTTTTGGGTTTGTTTTTTTTTTTTTTTTGCAATCAGAAGAACCTTTCATGTGTTGCTTCTCTTGCCTCAGTTTCCTTTCTGAGGGTCCTTCAACCGGTGACTATCCTGGCTTTGTGCAAAGGGGGGAAACAACCATCAGTTCAAAAATCAAGCCATCCTCTTTGGAAGGAGTGTGGGTGAGCTCCGTGAGGGACCCTTACACCAAGAGACAGCAACAAGCTCCTGGTGCAAAAGCAGGAAGAGAGCAGAGGTTAAATAGTAAATGGTAATTTTGGAGAGGCAGCGTGGACGCAGCTGAGCCACGTGAGCGGAAGATAATGGAAAAATAAACTTCAGAGTCTTCCAAGCATTTGCTTTGATAACCACCCACAGGTCCTGGCAGTAGGTTAGAGATCTGCGTCAGCAGTGTTTGCCTGGAAAACCCATGGGCACGATGCCTGCTGTGGGGACGTGTCCTGTCAGCTTCTGGCACTGCCGGTGGCAGAGAGGAGAGGGGAGAGAAGGAAAGAGAGACCCTCAAAGGCTTTGTTGCTGCTGGGTGAGAGCTCCTGCTTGTTCTGCTTTCACTGGATGTATTTTTCTTCCTTATCTGCACTGCTTCCTTCACGTGGTGGGGAATTATCCACCGTGTCAGTGAGTGGAGTGCATCTCTTCCAGGGAGGAGCGTTTACACCGGCTCCATTTGCTTCTAAAAATCCAGTTCAAAGCAATAGCAAAAACTCTGTTGGCTTCACAAGGAGAAACCTTACCTATTCTTGACTAATTGTTTCCAAAATATGAATATTTAAGGATGTTGGGATGTTTTAAGGAATATTTAAGGATAACTTTTCCACCTATTAACGACAAAAAAAAAAAACCCAAGTGAGCCTTGTGCAGTCGTGGCTGGCTAACACCTCCCTGGTGATAACATCCACAGGGAGTGGGGTCCAAAGAACAGGGTACACTCAAATCCTCTCTGCTGTTACCCTTTATTTGCTGCCTCTGCAAGAACTGAGATTTTCTTTTCCTCTTTTCAGGGTTAGAAAATGCCTCCTTGCTCGTGGAAAGCAGGATCTTGAACGAGTCATCAGTGGGAATGTGAATTGAAGATTTCACTATTTGTTCCCCAAGGAGGACAGCAAACCCAGCTGTTTTGGGGTTGAATCCATGTTTCTTAGCAGTGAAAGATAAGGGAGATACACAAAGTGGTGAATTTTTGACAGTACACCCCAGAGTCCCTCGAGGAGGGGCACCTCAGGCATGGCCTGTGAAAGTCAAGCTGGTGGAATTGAGAAAAATGGGTCATTTTCCTCCATCCTTTACTGTAAGAATGATTTAAAGGGAGGATCCCTGCAGCTGGTGAAAGGTAAGAGAGCAACTTGCTGATGAGAAGGAAGTTGCTTCCTTTTGGACATGGAGTACAGGGTCCTTAAAATAACAGAACACAGATTTTTCAAAGATGTTCATTAACAGCATCTCATTTGCAAAAGTAACTAAAAATTATGGATGTTTGAGTGTTTTGGGGTGGGGATGGACACAATTGGACCTTTTTTGGAAAGCCTGATATGTAGGAATGAATGGGCATCAACCTGGTGCAAATCAAAACCCTGGAAATCCTCTTCTCTTGGCCTTCAAAAGTCAAGGAATATTTAGGAACCTTGACCTGTACTTTCCAAGTGACTTCCCTGGGAACAATTTGCTCTGTCTCTGCAGCATGACTTCAGAAACTGCCTGAGGTGCTGTGCAGGGACCGATGGCAGTGCTGTGGATGGCTGTTCTCCCCAAGACCTCCATGCACTGGTCAGCTTTTTGCTTGCTCAGTTCATGGCACCTCCTTTGCTTTTTGCAGGGGTGAAGCAGCTCTTATCGCTCCAGCAGAGCTCAAGGAGCTGAGACCCTCTGCAAATCTCCGGTGTCAGAACTTGGTACCCAACTTGCAACTTGACCAAAGCCATGGAGAACAGGAGGGCTAAGCCCAAGGCTGAGACCATTTGTTTTTATTGCGTTATACTCACCACCTCCACTGCTCTGTGTCAGGAGATGATGTTAGAACAAGGCGAAATGGCTCTAAACTGGAAGAGGGGAGGTTTAGATTAGATATTAGGAAGAAATTATTTACTGTGAGGGTGGTCAGACACTGGAACAGGTTGCCTAGAGAAGTTGTGGCTGCTCCTCCCTGGAAGTGTTGAAGACCAGGCTGGATGAGGCTTTGAGCAACCTGGTCTAGTGGAAGGTGTCCCTGCTGATGGCAGTGGGGTTGGAACTGGATGAGCTTTAAGGTCCCTTCCAACCCAAACCAGTTTATGATTCTGTGAGATAAACCTCAGCAAACAAACAGGACCTTGTTATCCTGGAGGTTTCAGATGCATCTACTCTTCCCTCAATGCAGTCACACCCTATTGTAATACAATTGCCACCTTTCACTTGGCATCTCCTGTTCCTGAGCAGTGAAGAGATGATGATGGAGGACGTGACTGGGAGAGAAGGGAAAGGCAAGTGCACGTTGTATTTCAGCCACCACAGCTGGCTGGGAGAGCACTGAGCAGGCATTGTCAGGAGGAGCAGCTCCAAGGACACTTGGCTGACCCTGGGTCTGCAAAAGGGAAGCAAAACTGGGTGAAACGTTTCAGTGAAACAGGATTTCATCTGAACAAGCCACTTCCTTAGACCTGATCTCTTCCTCTTGACGTAGCACGGCTTGTGTAAACTCTAGATGAATGCTGGATGCCTGGAGATCACAGCTTTCCTGAGCTGCTCTACAGCTGCTCTGCTTCAGCTCCGAGCAGCCGGCTCCTCAAATCTAGGGCAGGCTGTCCTCACGCTTTCTGGGCTCCTGATTGCAACCTGGGTCTCTGGATGACATCTCTGATCCCAGCCCTAGCTGAAACTGGGAATCTGAGAGCTTTGAGCAGAGCCATGCTGCCCAGGAGCACTGCAAGAACAGGGACCTGGATGCTGGAGGACCTATGGAGCTCACTCTCCAGGGCAGCCCTGCCACATCCCAGACAATGTGATTATTGGAAAGCACCTTGATTTGATTGCTCAAGCTTTTTTCTTTTGTAGTGGGTGGGGTGAGTAGGCGATTGTTGGTCTCCCTAAGAGGCAGGTAGCCTTAGGAGCACCAAGTTGAGTTCATTGACCTTTTAGTTAGGGATCAGTGAGGCAAGACGTCATCCCGTTAAAGATCAGAGCATCATGTTATCTCTGACTGCTTACTCCTGGAATGTGTTTGGGGTTTCCTCCCTTTTTGTAGGTTGTTTCCTTACAGAGAACATCAGGCTTCTCCAGAGCTCCTTGTGATGTTCTTAGAAATGTCCAAGAGGGGATTCTAGAGCCATTTAAAACATGTCAGGATGGTCTGTGTTCCTCAGCCTTCCCTTTGCCATATGCTCCTTAGCTTCTAGACCAGTGCTCATGACTCCTTTTGGGCTCTTGCAGAACCTCTCAATGGCCAGGTGCTCATGGTTCTCAGCGTGGACAACAACTGCTCAGCCACCTCCTTTGACATGGAGCTTTGTGCAGAGAAACTGAAGTCCCTTGGGGTTCAGGTAAGTTCTTAATGTGTAATCTCCCTTGGAGACCCTGTGGGATAAGGCGAGAGCTGGATGAACATCATTTGCATTTGCACCCACATCACAGACACCTTTGCTTTTTATTTGTTTATATATATATTTTTGAGTGGCTTGTTTCAGTTAAACTTCAGTCTGTTCTCCATGGTCTGCAAGTCAACTCTAATGATCTTGGCTTAAACCTCCGTGAAGAAACCTCTTCAATGTAGGTTGGAGTGAATTCCTTGAAAGTCACTCTGACGGGGTGGAGCAACCCTGGGACAATCTGTCTTATCCTTTGTCCTACAAAGGTGGTTTTTCTCTTGTGACTTCCCCTGCACTTTCCAGGGAGTTATTTCTCACTGCAAATGAGGCAAGCACATGAGCTTTTGGCCTGTGACAGCTGTATGGATGAGACTGGAGGTGCCCTCTTCTCTCTGGGACACAGTTGCAGTGCCAGCCTGGCCCCACGATGACTGCCCAACCTAGTTCTGATGGGGCTGGGAGCTCAGAACTGGAGGATGGCCTTAGTTTGCTGTTTGCTCCCTGAGCAGGTGGCAGAGGATCAGTGGAGAAGGTTGATCCAAGATGCTGTCCTGAAGCCTGAAGTGAGACGGTACATGTTCTACAACTCCAGGGTGTTCCAGATAGCCATCGCCGTGGTAAGAATGGTGGGGTCTCTTGTGGGCTTGCCATAGACATGCACTTGCTGAGATGCATCAAGACCTACACTTGGACTTCTTGTGCCTGGGCAGGAAGAGAGGTTTGGGTGGGGAGGAGATACTGCTTTCCACACATCCTCGCGGGCTCCTTCAGAAATCCCTGTTCACAGAATTTCTGTAGATGGAGGGTGAGGCACCTTCTCCAACCCCTTGTTGGTAGTCCCACCAAAGCAGGTTGTCCATGCCTGGATATTAGCATGTGCTGAGGTACTAGTACCTACATCAGACTTTTTTTTTTTAACTTGATTTTAATAATCTGTAGATATTCTGGTCCTGATGCCAATTTAGACCAATGGACCAGCCAACTTTGGTTACTGAAGTGATTGTCTAGTCTTATTTGTCTTCTTCTGGTGAGAGAACCTCCTCCAGAGACCTCAACCATTAGCATCTGCTGTAAGACTGATACTTTGCAGCGTGCTGAAGGTGTGATAAAAATCTGACTCCTTCATTTTAGTTACATTTATTTTTTTGGATAGCCATTATGGATGTCTTCTCCTCCTTGCACTAATATTGTAGGAACTGGTGCTCGGTGTTTTGAGGTTTTTTGGTGCCTGTTTAGTGCAAACAAGTTAGTGCAAGACAATGCTGTGACACGCTGTGTGGTAGACATCATATTTGCTTCTAGGCAATCTCCTACTGAAGAAAAGACCCAAAAAAATCAGGTTTTCCTGTCTCTACACAAAGGATTTAACATAGTCCTTGAGCCCAGTGTCAGTGTCCACCATTTGAGTGTTATTATGAGCAGTTCCTCCACCACCTTGAGTGCTTTGACATAGAGGAGCTTTCTAAAAACAGGGACTATTAGAAGTCTGATCAACATGCCTCAGTGAGTGCATTTCTTATCTAGAAGAACTCGGTTTAAATCCATCCTAGGTATGAATCATCATTAATAATTCACTCTCTGCCTTTGATGACCTGTAATTTTTTATAATAAACTAGGGCTCACTCTGTCCTTCTGGTCCTTTCTTTCCCCTATTTATTATTGGAAAGAACGTCTGTCCTTTCTCACCCTCTGAAAATCTTGTGTGATTTAATTTATGGTGAGGTATTACCCTAGGAGAAGGGACCGGTAGTTTTTCTTCTTCCCTTGACTTTTCTCTCACTTTCAGAATTTTGTGAGTATCATCAGTCTCTCTGGGTTTTTATAGATTTTCTACGTGTCTCTCTGGACAAACATTTACACCACAGTCCAGCTCTTTTCCTTCAGACGCTACTGGGAGGCCAGTGTGCTGGTGACCCTGGTTGCTGTGGCAGTCACTGTAGTGGTGATACTGGTTATTGACCGTCGCCAGAGGAAGGTAAGAGGAGGCTGCTTGTGTGCCAGGACCCAGGTCATCTCCTAGATGCCTGCAAAGAACATAATTATCTGGGAAGGAAGGAATATTTTTAGAGCAAGCTTGGAGATCAGGTTCAGCAAGGGATGTTTGACAGCCAAGTTAAGTCTTGTAATGACTGAAAAGTAGATATTGGAGCCTGGCAGGCTGGTTCAAATCACCTGCTGGAGATAGAGCAACCCTTGCAGAGTGTGGTTCGTGCCCCAGGGCTGGTGGGAAGCCACAGAGGCTTGCCAGTTGAGTTGGCTCCTGCCAGGCTTCTGATGATGGTCCTTGCAGTCTCAGCTGTGTGCAACCACTGATAGCATCCTTCACTTGTGTGACTGTGGTGATCCAGACCTTGCAACAGGTCCAGAACAAAAAGGGCAGCTCCTAACCCATGGAAGTTGAATTTAAATCACAGACTGGTTTGGATTGGAAGGGACCTTAAAGATCATCCAGTCCCAACCCCCCTGCCAGCAGCAGGGACACCTTCCACTAGACCAGGTTGCTCAAAGCCTCATCCAACCTGGCCTTCAACACTTCCAGGGAGGGGGCATCTACAACTTCCTCGGGCAACCTGTGATAAAACCAAGGTGGAGTGGGCAGTAGAAGGAAATAGGGAGACAACATTAACATGAGAGGCAACCAGCCTGCACCATCCACTGCTTGGTTGTCGTCAACTTTTGTTTGTAGGAATCACAGGAGTATGGAAATTTCTAAGGAGTGATCTGAAGAGTAACATTGGAAAGGCTTGATTCAAAATCCAGAGGGGTCTTTGCTTTGATCTTAATGGATTTTGGAGCAGAGCTCTCATGACAGCTGTGCAATGGTTCTGCCAAAGGGAAACCTGGCAAATGTGTGGGTGCAGAGAGGTTCAGGAAAGGAGTCCTTCACTTGAGGGCTGCTGGGGAGGGGAGAGACAACATGATACTGGAAATCAATTCCACTTCAGACACCTTATTGTCTATAAGAGAAATAATCCCTAGTGAGATTTCTGGCTGCACACACATCTGCTAGTGGTGGCTCGGCCAATAGTGCTGGCTGGTGACAATCCTGCCATGACTGCAGACTGCTCTTCTCACTGCTTTTCTTTCAGATCTGTGGTATTTGGGATTATGGAGTTGGATTTTACAGTTGGACTAGATGATCATAATGGCCTTTTCCATCCAAACTATTCTATCAGGTCGAGGGAGGTGATTCTGCCCCTCTACTCTGCTCTTGTAAGGCCCCACCTGGAGTACTGTGTCCAGTTGTGGAGCCCCCATCACAAGAGAGACCTGGAGCAGCTGGAACAAGTCCAGAGGAGGCCACGAGGATGATGTGAGGGCTGGAGCAGCTCTGCTGTGAGGACAGGCTGAGAGAGTTGGGGCTGTTCAGCCTGGAGAAGAGAAGGCTCCAGGGAGACCTTCTAGTGGCCTCCCAGTACCTGAAGGGGCTACAAGAAAGCTGGGAAGGGACTTTTCATAAGGGCAGTTAATGACAAAACAAGGGGAAATGGGTTTGAACTGAAAGAGGGGAGGTTTAGATGAGATATTAGGAAGAAGTTCTTCACTGTGAGGGTGGTGAGACACTGGAACAGGTTGCCTAAGGAAGCTGTGGCTGCTCCTCCCTGGAAGTGTTGAAGGCCAGGCTGGATGAGGCTTTGAGCAACCTGGTCTAGTGGAAGGTGTCCCTGCTGATGGCAGGGGGGTTGGGACTGGATGAACTTTCAGGTCCCTTCCAACCCAAACCATTCTATGATTCTCTGATTATCCAGCTGCAGTCTGTATTTGTAGGCTGGTCCAAATTTTGCTGTAGAGTGTGTTAATTTTTCCTGCCTTCTTTAATAGATCAATATGAATACAGATGTGAGGCTGGCAGCTGTCAATGAAATCTTTATCAAACACGGTTTGATACTGGGGATTACAGATGCGCTGGATGGGCTACACAACATCCTACAGGTATCCTTTCTGCAGGGAATCATTTATACCCCTCCTGTGTACCTAATGATGTGGAGATATTTATTGATGTCCTGATCCATGAGGATTTTGAGTGGGTGGGATTTCTAGGATTTGTTTTTTATCCTATTGGATGACATGAAGGATTGAGTATTTTTTTTTTCATCTCCTATAAATGGGGATTGAGATGTTCCCCAAAGGCAATTGGAAATAAGAAGTTTAAAAGATTGAAGTGAGATTAGTCCTTTGGACAGACAATTATTCCTGAAAGTGTATTATATTTATGTGACAGTGATGATTGTTATTATGAGCAGAGTGACAGCAGTGTGCCTCTGGTAAAAAAAAAAGCAAAAAAACCCAAAAAAACAACCAAAACAAACAAACAAAGAAAAACCCAAGGAAAAAATGAGAGTCCCCATCCGTGGGCTCATTTCCTGCTTTTCAGAGATATATTTTCTGGACTAGACAAAGATTTAGGGGAAAAAAAAAGAGAGTTTTAAGAGTTTAAACACATGAAAGTGTTAAAGGAAGGTGAGAGTGATGGTCTCCCAGATTTGCTGTTGGACTTCACCCCCCCCATATATACAGAGAGGTATGAAATAGAGATGGAGAGGGAGCCAAGGCTGAAACACAGGCTCAGAGAAGGGAGCAGGGAACACAGCAGGAGAGCTGGCAAGGGTGAAGTCATGCAGAGTGAGGAGGAAACACTGAAGAACCTGAATTACATGTTTGTTCAGTCCAGCACAGTTTTACCCCTCAGTATGTGAGGACTCATCCAACGAGCCTACGTGTCCCTGAGCTGCCTGAGAACAGAAAATAACCCAAGGATTTCTGGTTTCTCTGTCTGCTCCAGGGTCAGATCTGGTTTAATCCTCTAGCTTTTACACTGTTCCTGAATCCCCTTGGTGATGGCAGCGTGAGCAGATACACAAGGGCAGATCTTTGGCTGCTTTTTGGGGGCTGCTGCTCCCAAAGCTGGCAGGACTTGTGTCCCCAATGCGTTGCTCTTGGTAGATTCTTCTCTAACGGTGCCTCTGTCCTGCAGACAAGCACCAAGTGCAGTCAGTTTTGTAAAAAATAATGGAATAAATCCCTAGAAACAAAGGAAAATCTCCTTCTCCGGAGTCTCCTTCTCTGGAGACATTCAAGACCTGCCTGGACGCCTTCCTGTGTGATCTCATTTAGGTTCCTGCTCTGGCAGGGGGATTGGACTGGATGATCTTTTGAGGTCCCTTCCAATCCCTAATATTCTGTGATTCTGTGAAAGAAAGCAGGAAGGAGTTTAGAAGAAGCCAAGTAAATGTGACCCATCAGTTCATTTAGATCCAAGGCTACTGAGATGAGTGATGGGCAGCGGCCATGGGTTACCCCACTTGTCACCCCCCAGCTGCAGGAGCTGTGTGAGGAGGACTGGCTGCCCTCTGGGGCTACATCCCCCTTCCCTGCCACCCTCTCCTCTTCCCTGTTAGCTTGAGGTTCTGTCTTAGCCCAGACCCTCTTGCCTTCAAATTCACCCTGCCATGTGTTACTTGGTTCCTGACTGTGTCCTGAGCATCCCATGGGTACCAGCTGCCTTAGCTCTGCTTCCCATGAGGTCTGTACCATGATGCACACAGAGGCAGAGAATTGTGGAGGGGGAAGCATGGAAAGATATGGAAAAACCTCTTCCTTAACCCTGCCATCCCAGCTGTGGTTCGTGCACTTCAGCCCAGAGCGCTGCCTCCAGTCTCTGTCAGCCCACATCATGGACCTGCAGAGGACACGAGGGGTAAGTGACAGCCTGAGCTCATGTGGTGACACTTGCAGGTCCAACCCTACACCCTGGCTTTGGTGGGATGGAGGTGGGCAAGGAGAACCGAGTGTACAAGTGTCCTCCTGGGCATTCCCTGCTATGAAGTGGGAGCTGGACAGACTGGGAGGTGGATAAACTGCATCTGTCAGT